AGTGTATACGAGTGCGCGCCTGAGTGTGACTGTGTATGAGCTTAAGCTTCTAGGAGTGTGAGTGGTCTGTGTGTGAATAGGTCTGTGTGCTATTGAGTTTGATTGTGCTTGAGTCTGGGTGTGAGTGAGTCTGAGTGCGGATCATTCTGAGTATGAGATATGAGTGAGTGCGAGTGTGGGGGAGTCTGAGTGTGAGTGCAGGTCGGGCCTTGAATCTGGAGTTTGAGTGCGTCCCGGACCGAGTTCCAGCGGTCCCAGGGCCCGAGAACAGCTTCCATATGGCCTCACCGGACTCGCCGGACTCACCGGATTCATCAGACTCACCGGACCCACCAGCGCCAGCGAAGGAGGCACCGGACTCACAGAACCCGCTGGACCCACCGGACTCGCCGGACTCACCGGACTCCCCGAACCCGCCAGACTCACCAGACTCGCCAGACCCACCGGACCCACCGGATCCGCCAGCAGCGCCGGATCTGGCCGGGCCCACCGGACTGGGGCAGCAGGGTGCACCATCCTCCGGCGGACTTGACCCGGAGGCTCCGCGAGAACAGCGGGCAGTGCCTGATCTCGAGCCCGGCGAGCGACGGCCGCCAGCCGCTGCCCCAAGAGATCTGGGAACGTCGACGGCTCCGTGCGAGTGGGGCTCGGGGCCGCCCGACCAGCTCGGAGGGAGGTGCCGCGAGCTGACTTCGAGGCTGGTCCGCGGGGCCCTGCCCCAGGGCGCTGGCGCCTGCGCATCGGTGTGCCTGGGCATGCGCGAGCACCTTGTCCTCGAGTGCCCGCTGTCGCGCAGTCTCACCGAGGAGCAGTTCGCCCACTTCCACGGCAGCTGCGCGAATGACCTGGCGCCGGCTCCGCTGCGGCGGCTGCGCAGCCCGGCGAGCGGCGTGGCCCTGGCGGGTGCCTCCGCCCGAGGCGTCGGCACAGGCCAGGAGCGGAAGTCGCCGCAGCCCTGTCCCGCGCTGCATGACCCACTGACCGACCTGATCAGCAAGCTGGGGCCCGAGAACTTCCACCGGGGTTCGTCGAGCTGAAACCGGCCCAGGGGCGCCTCCGCGCTCTCCCCGAGGGCGGGCAGGCCCTGCGCTTCGGGCGCGGCAAGCATGGCGAGTTCGTCGTCTCGCTCGACAGCAGGGCCCCCGGCGAGATCCAAAGCTGTCGGCGGGGCGGCCCGCGGCGCGACCTTGTCGGTGGCTTCCAGGGGCGATCTGGACACCGCAGGCTTTCAGGTCAAGGAGCTCCCTAGCATTGCCCTTCGCGCGTTGTTCCCTCTTACCGCGGGCGCGCGCCCTGGCGTTGCCCCGCCAGCTGGCGATCTCCGTGGCCACGTGATCAGGTATTTCGTTGTGGAGGCTTGCGTCGCGGCTGGGCGCCCCCTCTGGACGACAGCAACCTTCCTTCCGCCTGGTGCAGAGACCCCCCCCCTTGCTCCTCTGGGGGCTCCACCCGCTGGCCCCCCCGATCCCGTGCTGCCCCGCCCCGCTCCCCGCGCTCTCGCCTGACGAACAGGGGAAGCTCGCCCGCGCCGTCCTCGAGTTGCGCCATCCCTTGGAGAGGAACGCGCCGGGCTCAGAACGCCCCCGCCATTCCCTGTGGCGGCCCCATGCCTGGGAGTTCCGCGGAGATGCGCCTCATAACCACCTCCTCAAGCTCAACGAACGACGCTCCCAACGCTTTTTTTTGGGGAGGGCATCTGGCCAACCCCGTCCACCCATCTGATCTTGCTGGCCCCCCGCGGCGGCCCCTGGGCGGAGGGCGGCGGCTCGCGGCGCTCTGGATCAGGGGGCGCCAAGAGCGACGGCGCCCACCGCGTCGAAGAGGACGACCCGGGGCGGGGCGCCCGCCCCGGGGCCCCGCGGCGCCCGCGCCCTCGATCTCGTTCCCTCCCGCGGCCCCTGCGCCATCGCAGCTATCTCGGCGCGGCGGGCGCGGGCCCCGTCTGCGCCAATCCCACCCCGCGCGTAGCGCTTGCTGGCGCCCCCGTCCGTCGCTGACCTCCAACGCCGGGGCCTGGTCCCTGCAGCCGTTGGCCTTAGTCAGTTGGGTTTTCGCCAGGCCAGGCGCTGGCCCGCCGCGCTTCGCGAGTTCGGCTCCGCATCCGCCGACCCTGGGGCGCGCCTCTATGCCGTGCTCCGCGCCTTCCTTGGGCGCGCGTTTGGCTGCACGGCGCATCCATCCGCGTTTCTTCCCGCCTCTGGGCCCCCTGGCGGACGCGATGCGCGCGCAGCCAAGCCCCCGCGCCACCTCGTTAGACGGGTCAGGGAGGTGCGAGGCGCCCCGGGGTATCCTTGCACGTGGATGGCTTTTCTCGGTCACGATCCAAAGCTCGCAGACCGACCCCAACCTCGTTGAACCCCCTCCCTGGAGGCGTTGATTGACAGCTTCGGCCGCGACATGTTTCTTGGCTGGCGCGAGACAGCCCGCGAGCAGAAACGTGCCTTCGCGGCAGAGCCCATGGGCAACGTGAGGATCTCCCACCCCCACTGGTGGGGTGTCGCTGCTCCTGCCGCGCGCCTTGTGCTTCCACCTCCCGGGTCGCTTCCCAAGGGCGCGCGCTCCTGGCCCCGTGGGCCCAGGGGCCCCGGCGTTCTCGCCCGCCTCCCGCGGCGGGTCGGTAGAACCTTGGCCGCCTTTCTCGTCCCGCTTCCCAGACCCCCGACGTCGTGCATTTTTCACAACGTCGATCCCCAGAACGTCGACCTCCTGAGGTCTGGAACCCTCCCGAGGCCCGGCGAGGGCCCCGGGGCCCGAAAATAGCGAAAAACCTCCCGTCGTGACTTTTTCACGGCGCGAGGAGGTCTGGGTTCCCCGTGCCTGTCGGGCCCGCGCCCCTGGGTTCGCCTCTCTGCGCGGCCGCTCCTCTGGCGCTGCTCGTGCAGAGGCGGGCTGCAGGGCCCGGGCGGCCGTGCCCCAGCGGGCGCGCTCCGACCGCCGCCCTCCCAGCGGAGGCCCAGCTCCCGCGCGCTGGCCCACTGCCCCCCCCCCCCCCGCCGCCCTCGTCGCTCCGCCCCGCCCTGCCGCGCAGCTTCCCTGCTGCTGCTGGCAGGGCGCGCAGCTCCAGCGGCGCGCTTGGCCCCCCTGCCCTGGCCGCGCGGGGCTGTCCCACCCAGTGCGCGCGCCGCTCCTCGCGACCCCCCCTCGCGGCCCCCCGCCGCGCGCCTCGCGCGCCGTGCACCTGGCCCCTTCCCCTGGCGCCGATCCGGGAGACGACGCAGAAGATGGCCTGCTAGAGCAGTGCATGTCTGATCAGATCACCCTCCAGTGTCAGTGGAGCCGTTATAAGAGTTCGTCATGTTTTATGGGGGCGTCAAGATGATGCACGTTTCGTCCGTTACTTCCGCGGGGGCGGGCGGGCGAAGGCTGACCCCTGTCCCGACCGCGCCAAGCTGCCCCCCTTTCCCCCTAGAATCCGAGTGGGCTGGGTCAAGAGGGGTCGGATCAAAGATCTGGGATTTTGAAATCTGGGATTGCATCCAGTCATGTAGTATTATATTTTTTCAAACGTGATAATTTAAACTCATGGCGTAAATACACGCGGTTTTAGAAATCCCACCAGGCGGGATTTTGCCCTGCCGACGCAAGATAGTGAAGTTCCAATTCATGACGAAACTATTGTAACGCTAGTGTAGATGTTTTCCCACCCAAGGACGGGCCCATGGTTCTCGGCGCCAGGCCCCCACCGCCTATGCATTATTCGGCAGCTGGAGTTCGAGCAGTTCCTCGAGTGGCTTGCCCCTTTCGACGCTGGCTGACGACCCACATCTGCTCCTCCAGTCCACGCTACCTCGCGCGAGGGCGACTCTGGTCAGGAAGCGGCCCGCCTGCGGCCAATCGCGGGCCCTCCCCCTGGAGGCTCCTGCGGCTCCTGTCCTTCTCGTGCGGGCTTACCCCCCCCGCGGGAGCTGCGTGGGCGTCGAGGCTTTGGTGGACGGGCTGGCACTCGCTCTCTCGGTCCTCCGGCTCTGGGCTGACTCCTTCCGCGTCGGCCAGTGCGCCGCGAGGCGGACGCCCCTGTGCGCCCGCGCTTCCCTCCAGGCTCGCTGGGCCTAGGGCGCCCCCGCGCCCTCCCGGTGCCCCCCCCGCCTGGCGTCGCCGCCGGCGGCCCCCCCCCAGGCCGGCCCGCGCCACGCCTGTCTTCCGGCCCCTGGCTGCGCCCCTCCCCGCAGCAGGGGCCTGGGCCCGCCTTCCTGGCCTGCCTCTCGGCCGCCGCCGCTTCCGGCGCGCCGCCCGGCCCGCTGGCGGTCGCGGCCCTGCCGCCGGGGACCTTGGCGGCCACTTGCCGCCTGCTGCCGGGCCTCGGCCTCCCTGCTGCTGCTCTGCTTCCTGTGCCCTTCGGCTGGCGCTGGCCAGATTGGCATTCGTTTCCGTAGGCTTTGGCTCCCCCTGCCCGTGCCCTCTGGGCTTCCAGGTCTGTCTTGGTCTCCTTTTCGCTCCCAGCTGCTTACTCGCTCCTCCTGCCATTCAGTCCCAGAGGGCTTGTGGCTCCTGCCACCGCACCTTTGTCTCGCTTTCCACCTGTCCCCTCCGTCATCCATCCTGGATGACGTATGGCCGGCTGCCGCTGCGGGACCTTCAGCGGTCGAGGAGTGCTCGGGCGTTTCTAGTCGCGCCCGCGCGTCTGCTGCTTTTCAACCTTCTCCCACCGTGTCGGAGAGGCAGGGCCGAGACGCCCAAAAAGTGAAATATGTGTGTGTGTGTGTGTGTGTGTGTGTGTGTGTGTGTGTGTGTGTGTGTGTGTGTGTGTGTGTGTGTGTGTGTGTGTGTATGTGTGTGTGTGTGTGTGTGTGTGTGTGTGTGTGTGTGTGTGCAGCGGGCTTTTGAACCGTGGGGGTGTGGCTTTGGTGTACTCGCAGCGCGAGCGCGCTTTCCGCAGCTCTAGCTGGGCCCAAGTGGCGCGCAACATGCGCGCTGCTCGAGAAAAGTATCCCAAGCGGCTGAGTTTGACGTAGAGCATGCTGCCCAATCCCAGTGGGTTCACACTGACTGTTGCCAAAGAGGACAATGGGACGGGAGTGCTGGCCGCGGCTGGGCGGCAAATGCTGCTAGAAGGCAATCTGGACGGCGCGATCGTCGCTTTGAGGACGGCCTTCGAGCAGGACCCGTCCCTGGCGAGGGAGGTCGGTACGAACTCAGAGAAGGCGCTTGGATGTTGAAAGCATGGCATAATGCTTTATTCATCCTTCGGTTTGAGCCCCTTGGGTATTTTCCATTCTACCGAGGCGAAGCGAACGGTCCTCCTGTCAAATACGTTTTGAATCGGCTAGGGCTCCGTGTGATGAAATGTCGGCGAGCGGAGGTGAGTGGTACCCTCCTAGCGCTTGTCGGTTCGACGGGGGGGACACTAGGAGGGGCCCTCCGCGGTCATCTTGAGGCTCTCACCGAACAACATTTTCTGGGGCCGAGCAAAACAAATCGTTCCTTCCCTATGGCTTGTTGGTTCGACGGAGGGAACACTGGGAGGGGCCCTCGGCGGTCATCTGGAGGCCCTTTTGGGGCCATTCTGGTCCTCTTGGTAGCTCTCGGTGCTCTCCTGGACCGCCTTTGGGCCGTGTTGAGCCGCCTTAAGGTCGGTGCGCTCCGGGCCGTCTGGCGCCTTTGGAGATTGCCTCGAGAGCCTATTTGGACCGTCTTGGGAACCTTTTGGGCTCTTTCGGACCGCCTTGGTACTCTTTTGGACCTTATCGGGGCCGTCCTATCGCCTCCTTGGGCTGTCTTGGAGCCCTCTTGGGGGCCTCCTCGGCCGTCCTGGGAGCTTTCTTCAAGCCTATTAGGCGGGCTGGTGCTGTCGGACGCCCGACGATGGGAGCACGTCACAATTGAATAGAACATTATTCGGCCCCTTGGGGCCCTCCTGGGCAGCCTCTTGGAGCCTTCTGGGCTACCTGGGTCCGATTTTGTGCCATCTTGGGACGTCTTGGAGCCTTCGGCGGCTGTCTGAAGCCATGGTGGAGGCCACACAGGGCTACCTCGTCCGACTTGGAGGCCATCGTGAAATATCTTGGAGGTCCTCTGGACGCATCGTTGCCTTCTGGAAGGCCCTCTTCGGGTCATCTTGGGCAGAACCGTCGATGGAGTATCTCTTCTACGGGCGGGCGGCAGGCGGGCTGGGCCGGAGGCCGCACTGAGCATTCGGCAGTGGCAAGGAGGAGTTAGAAAGTCCGGCGCGCCAATAGATCTCCAGCAGGTTACGGGGGCGGCGGATCGAAGACGCCTGCGGCGAATCACCGCCTCCCCCCACCTTTCTGGAAGCGCGGATGTGGCCAAGCGTTGGACCAACGCTCGGCCAAGCTATTCGTCCATGGGCTCCCCTAGCCGTTGTGGAGATCCTTCAGGGAACACTTGGCGGAGGAAGAGAGGGGAGTCGGAGAGGGAGGAGGAGGAGGAGGAGGAGGAGGAGGAGGAGGAGGAGGAGGAGGAGGAGGAGGAGGAGGAGGAGGAGGAGGAGGAGGAGGAGGAGGAGGAGGAGGAGGAGGAGGAGGAGGAGGAGGAGGAGGAGGAGGAGGAGGAGGAGGAGGAAGGAGGAGGAGGAGGAGGAGGAGGAGGAGGAGGAGGAGGAGGAGGAGGAGGAGGAGGAGGAGGAGGAGGAGGAGGAGGAGGAGGAGGAGGAGGAGGAGGAGGAGGAGGAGGAGGAGGAGGAGGAGGAGGAGGAGGAGGAGGAGGAGGAGGAGGACAACTATTGTACATTCAATAGTCATCAACGATGTTGGAGTTTACCTAGCTCCAAGCTCCCTCTTCATTTGACCCTACAAGGATTCGTTTCCACTGAAGGAAGTGCCCCGTTGGGAGACAACGGTTCGAAGAGCCCGAAGTGTAACAGAAGACCGTTCTAGGGAGTTCAGCGCCACGAGACATAATGATTGTTGCGTATTGGTGATCCGGAGTGCTGCAGAACACCCTTCCTGGGACTTCAGCACCGAGACTGAACGTAACTGTTGCGCCCTAGTAAGTCTGAGTCGTTTCAAAGCATTACTTTTGGTACGATAACCATGAGATCCGGTTAACTCTTCACGCTAGAGCCGCATTTTGAAACCGGCCCGCCCTCAATTCGCGAAGCTCTTGCAATTTGTTGTCAGGTGAGTGCGCGCGGCGCTAAGGCGAGAGCAACATTTTGAAAACGGCCCGCCCTCAATCCGTGAAGCTCCGGCAAGTTGTTGAGACGAATGCGCGCGGGGCTAATGCGAGAGCCACATTTCGGAAGCGACCCGCCGTCCATTTGTGAAACTTTTGTGCCGATTTCTAAGCTTCAGGATCTTCAACGGTGAGGAAGTCTCAGACGAAACGCCCGGCCCGCCCTTCTCTGGGGTGAGACAGGGGACAATTATTCACAAGACAAAGGAATAGAGGATGATGATGATGATGATGATGATGATGATGATGGTGGTGATGATGATGATGATCATGATGATGATGATGATGATGATGATGATGATGATGATGCTGATGATGATGATGATGATGATGATGATGATGATGATGATGATGATGATGATGATGATGATGATGATGATGATGATGATGATGATGATGATGATGATGATGATGATGATGATGATGATGATGATGGAGGAGGAGGAGGAGGAGGAGGAGGAGGAGGAGGAGGAGGAGGAGGAAAGGAAGAGGGAGGAGGAAGAAGAGGAGGAGGAGGAGGAGGAGGAGAAGGAAAAGGCCTCTTGGGGCCTCTTGGGGGCATTCTTGGGCCTCCCAGGGGGCTTCCTGGTTGTCTGTTGAAGGCCTCTGAGGGGCCTTTTTGGGGCCTTCTGAGGGGCCTCGTGGGGGCCTCTTTGGGGCCTCTTGGGTGCATCTGGGGGCCTGTCTGGGGCCTCTTGGTCTTCAGAGGCCGTCTTGGGGACCTCACTGGGCCGTCATGGGCCCCCCTTGGAGCAGCCCAGGGCTTCCTTGGAGGTCTCTGGGGCGGTCTTGGCCCCCTCTCCTACTTCGGCCGTGTTGGGGGCCTCTTGCGCCGCCTTGGGGCCTCTTGGCCTGTTGGGTCCTTGTCGCCCGTCCCAGGGGCCTCTTGGGGGCTTTGTGGCAGTCTGGGAGCTGTCTTGGAGGCCTCTGTGGCCGTCTTCGGCTTTCGGAAGCACGAAACGGCGCGAACGCAACAACTAGTGACAAATCATTTGCACGTCGATGATTTTGTCCAGAGCCATCTTGGGCATCTTTTGTGCGTCTTGGACTAGACGCCATATTGCGGCGTCTTGGGGCCATCTTGGGCCACCTTGGAGGCATCTTGGGATCATCGTGGGCTCTCTCATGGCCATCTGGCCCATCTTCGAGGCGTCTTGGGACCATCTTGACGGCGATCTTGGCCCATCTTGGCCGTCTGCGAGCGGGCGTTTTGCACCTTTGGGTTCGCCCGAGTGGCCGGCGGGTTGAGCTGGAGGTACGGGGAATCTTTTGGAAGGGTCAAGCCAGTAAAGTATTTGAAAGTCTGGCACGCCACGCACCCCTTTGCAAGCAAAGGGGGCGGCGGATCTAGTGGGAAGGGCCCATCATGCTACCGTGCCTGGGTCGCTGACAAGATGCCTTTTGGGGACCTCTTCGAGGCGTCTTTGGGGGGCCTCTTCAGGGCTTCATGGTCCCTGTCGGGGCGCTCCTGGGGGCCTCTCGAAGGCCTTCTTGAGTTCTCCTTGGGCGGTGTTGGGGGTTTTCGGAGCTCTCTTGGAGCCCTCGTGTATCCTATCTTGAGGCCTCAGGATCCCATAGAAATCGAAGAGGCGAGAAAGCGAAACCCATTGAAACATCGTAGGGCTTTGAAACATTAGGGCCTCCTGGAAGCGTCTTGGGCGTTGTCTTGGACCATTTTGCGATCCCGCTTGGCAATGTTGTGAGTTTCTTGGACGCCTCTTGAATCTTGCCACTTCTTGATCTCCTTTCTGGGATCGTTTTTGAACTCTCTTGAAGCCCCCTCGAAGCGCTCCTGGAGCGCTCCCGAGGGCCTTAGGACCGCGCCCAGGAGTGAAACCATCTCTGATACAATCTGCCCAGGGGTTGCCCAGGACCTTGCTAGGGTAGTTTTCCTCCGGGGCCCCCGTAGGGGCCGCCACGCTCAGATTCTAGCACGCTTTTGTCCCGTTGGGCCTGCGAATTGCAAAGAGAAATGTGACGGCCACCAGGGCGTCCACCGCGCAAATGGAGGGTGGCACCGTACTCGAAACGCATGGGCCGGGCTTGACGTCCCCAACGGCCTCATCTGTTAGGCCCAAGGTCAGTCTTCCAGGTAACTCTGTGAGATACGGCGCTTCTGCGTTCGGTCGTACATCTCTTGCGAAACGCATCCATTCAGCTTTCGCACCGAGGGCTGCTGGAAGCCGCCCGAAGCCGCCAGAGGCCACCAGAAGTCGCCGAAGACCGCCGGGGACCGCCGAGGACCGCCAGGAGAGCGCCGCAGGCCGCCGGAGATCGCCCGAGGCCGATCTGCCCCGTGGTCGAGCACGCAGCAGAGCTCCCGTCTGCCCGCAGGTGCGGCGCGCCTCGAGCTCCAAGGCGGCGCGACGCGGGGAGCCCGCGGCCATACTGGAGAGCCTCTGCATGTGCCTGGCGAAGAAGGCGCCTCGAGCCCCCTCGCCAGCCTGCGTGGCGAATTTCGTGGGCCGGCAGGGGTGAGGACTAGCCCAGACCTCCTCGCGTCGTGACAGCAATCACGACGGAACGTTTTTCGCCCTGTTCGGCCTCCAGGGGCCCTCATTGGGCCTCGGGACCGTCAAAGAACGACTCGGGATGAAAAACCGGTTCCCTGGGGAAGGGGTCCAGACCTCTGGGGGTCGACGTTGCGAAGAAATTCGACCTCGGAGGTCTGGGAGGGGTGTGCCCACCTCGCAGAACTTGAAGTCGTCAACTCCGCTAGTCTCGCAATCATCCCGACCTCCCACCCGCAACCTGCTTTTGCGCAGCCCGCCCCACGCGTCCGCGATTGCGGCGACTACTTGGCACGGGCTGGCACATCCGTGGCTGCACTAGCTGGCAAGCTCGCGCGCAGAGCGGCCAGCTGGTTTGGCACAATTGACGCGGCCGCGATGGCGCTTACCCTGGAATTTCCCAGCGTGTCTCCATGGCCGCGCTGGTTCGCGGGGACTTCAGTATGGGCTCGGGCGGGCGCAATATTATGTCGACAACGGCGGTGGTGGCGATGATGTCGATGACGACGGCAAAGCCAATGACGGCGCCGATGCTGGTGACGACGCTGACGATGATGATGCTTGAAGATGATTGACTGATGATGGCGGCAATGGCGGCGATTGACGATGACGATAACGGCGGTGCTGAGGGTGATGGTGTGAAAGTGCGCGCGCGCAGAAATGCAGCCTGGCAGGCCGTTTGTGGAAACACGTGTTTTTTCCCCATACGTTTTTTGGAGACCTCTATGTTGAAAGGCTTCGACAGCCATTCGTTTTGACCGGATTTCGATTCGCGCTCATGGCGGCGCGCGCGTGAGGTCGGTATGGTATTATTGCGATGGCCTCCGGCCAGTGCCGCCGATCCGGGGCGTCTGGGATGAGGATGATGATGATGACGATGATGATGATGAGGATGATGATGATGATGATGATGATGATGATGAGAGTGATGATGATGAGTGATGATGGTAATGATGATGACGATGCTTATGATGATGATGATCATACTGGTGGCGATGATAGTGATGATGATGATGATGATGATGATGATGATGATGATGATGATGATGATGCTGATGATGATTATAATGATGATGATGATGATGATGATGATGATGATGATGATGATGATGATGATAATGATTTGGATGATGATGATGATGTTGATGATGATGATGGTGATGGTGATGATGATGCTGATACTGACGATGATGATGACGCTGATGCTGATGCTGATGATGATGATGATGATGCTGCTGCTGCTGATGATGATGATGCTGATGCTGATGCTGCTGATGATGATGCTGATGATGCTGATGATGCTGATGATGCTGATGCTGATGATGATGATGGTGATGATGATGATGATGATGATGATGATGATGATGATGATGATGATGATGATGATGATGATGATGATGATGATGATGATGATGATGATGATGATGATGATGATGATGATGATGATGATGATGATGATGATGATGATGATGATGATGATGATGCTGATGCTGATGCTGATGCTGATGCTGATATGACGATGGTCACGACGACGGCGCGTTCGGGACGATTCTGGGACCGAGATCCTGGTGCGGCACCGGGTGGTGGGGGGGGGCGTCCGGCACCAGAGGGGGGATGCCGGCATTGGGGGGGGGGGGGCCGGCACCGGGGGAGGTTCTGGCACCGGGAGGTGGGCGCTGGCACCGGGAGGGGGTGCTGGCACTGCATGGGGGTGGGGGTGCCAGCACCGGGGTAGGGGGGGGGCTGGCACCGGGGAGCGGGTGCCGGCACCCTATAGGGGGTGCCTGCACCGGGGGGGGAGGGTGCCGGCACTGGGGGGGGGGGCCGTCACCGGGAGGGGCTGGCACCGGGCCGGTCCCCGGGGGGCTGGCCCCAAGGGGGGGGGGTGGGGCGGCATTGGGGGGGGTGGCCGAGACCGGAGGGGGGGGGCGGCATTGGGGGGGGGTGCCGGCACCAGGCCTCTGGTGCCGGCCCCAGGGAAAGGGTCCGGCGTTGGGGGGGGGGGTGCGGCCTCTGGCGCCGGCCCCAGGGAAGGGTGCTGACTTTGGGGTCGGGGTGCCGGAGGGAGGGGGCCTCCCCGAAGCAGAATAAGGAGAGAGGGGATGGCAGAAAAATTTAGAGGGGGGGGGAGGAGGGGAGAGGCTGCAGAGCGACGAGAGGGGGGGGGGCTGCAGAGCGAAGCTTGCCCCCTCTTCCTTCTTGCGAGATCGCTCACGCTTGGTTTTTCAGCGGGCGGGGGAGGGGGAGGAAGGGAAGTGAGAGGGGGAAAGGGGGAGGGGAGGCAGGGGGAGGGGCTCCCCGAAGTGGAATGGGGAGAGGAGGGAGGGGGGAAGAGGGGGAAGATTAAGAGGGGGGAGCGGGACGGGGGGGTAAAGAGAACCCCGCCCCACCCCCCTGGGCCCCAGGGGGAGCGGGAGGGGGAGGTTGAAGAGGACCCCCCCCTTTGCGTTCAATGAAAAAAGTCGTCCCGCCCCCCCTGCAGAGCGAAGCTTGAACGAACTCAAGTCCACGCTCTCAGAAACTCACACTCCAGATCGGCGGATTTGATACGGATTTGTGCGCTGGGCGCGTGGTGGATCAACGCGGATGCACCGCATGGTGAGATGAGAATGCGTGTTTTGGACGAGATTGTCAACTCGTATGTCTGTCGTACGATTTCAGCACATGCGCACGAGCAGAAGAGCTGCAGAATTTGTGACAAACAGCCCACAGGTTTTCAATGCTTTATGTTGGAAGGCTGGCCTAACTAGTGTGTTTGGTGTGATTTCGTCGCGTGCGCGCGCGTGGACTTTGAGGGGGGTGGATGAAACATTGGGTTGGTTGACCGTTTTTTCGGCAAAGGGTTCTTGAACCATGGTCCTCTGAGATAGGCGAGGTGTGCGCGCAGAGGTACGACTTGACAGGGCTGAGGCCGGGGGCGGCGATGCCCAGCCCTCCTGGTTCTGTACGAACCCCTCGGGGCAAGGAGCGGTGCGGCAGAATCACGTGTCATTCGCGCGTGCCCCAGAGGGGGTCTGCTAACTCCAGGGGGGGAAGGTGGTGGAGTCCATGTTGCTTGAGAGGATAGCATGGGTCTCATGGCCGGGGCGGCGAAGCCTCCCAGATTTCGTG